CCATAAGTATGAATATTTAATCAGCCTTGTATTCTAATAGGTTAAAATCTCTTTAGCTCTCTCCATAACACTTAAAATAACCTTATCGTCTTGTGTCTAGATCAACCATCTCAAGATAATGCTTTTACATAAAATAAACAATTAATCTGTTATCACTGACTTTTGGAACAACCCCAGTCAGTTTAACACTAGTAGATTTGGTGTAGATACAAAGGATACTTTATATGAATATCGTACAATCACGTGAACGTTTAGTTCATTACCAGTAGTTACCTCTGATGAGTGATTTTAATATTGGATTATAAAAGTTTGGAAATGATCCCTTTGGCCGTTATAAACATTGATGGCAACCTTTTTGCGACTTATATTTACATACACATTTAATATGTTGTAACTTTGAAATAAGTGGTTTGATTTGTCTGTTTTGTTTTGAAATAAAGTTTCTGTTGCAACCTTTCATCAATTCAGCAATAATTTCTTCTGGATCTAAATCCAAGACAGGTAGACCATTTTAGCTTTTTAAACTTAAAGAAGTGTTATTTATCTGAATCTTAGACTTTATGTGAAAGTATCTTCCTTGTCCTAAAACTGGAAAAGAAGTCAGTGAAAGAAAATACCAAGAGGAGCCAAATTTGTCTTATTCCACAGATTAGAAAAATACGGAATGTATAAAATCCATGGAAATCAAGGAATGTGGCTTCTGACTAAGGAGAACCTGTCAACTAGTATTAGTTCGGACCAGTACAACCAGACACACAGACAGATACCTGTCGGTATGTGAGTGTAATAATCGGGAATGAAATATCAAACTTCATTTCACCTTACGTCACGTCATCTTATCTCACCTAATCTTATTTAACTCCTTTCAACGTATCTATCTTCATCACATGTCACCTGTCTTCACCCTACCTCACCTATCTTCACCTCACCTATCTTCACCTCATCTCACCTGTCTTCACCTCACCTCACCTGTCTCCACCTCACCTGTCTTCACCTCACCTGCCCTCACCTATCTCCACCTCACCTGTCTTCACCTCGCCTCACCTGTCCTCACCTAACCTCACTTGTCTTCACATCACCTCATCTGTCTTCATCACATGTTACCTGGCTTCACCTCACCTCGCCTGTCTTCACACCACCTCACTTGTCTTCACCTCACCTGTCTTCACCTCACCTCACTCGTCTTTATCTCACCTGTCTTCACTTCACCTCACCTGTCTTCACTTCACCTGATGTCCCTATGATAACATATAGAACAATGAAGCAATGTCTTGTTCCCCTGTCCGCTCAATGACGACAGTCACAACAGAAGTATACCAGTTGACCTTCAACTTTACTGCTTCACCATTATAGTCTGTCATACAGACTCTGAAGCAAATATATCCAAGAAAGAGCATGCAAGTCTAGGCAAGTCTAGTCTCAAGGCTCCTTTTCAGAATATTTTATTTTTTTACTATGAGCTTTTTCCTGTAAAATCTGTTCATTTCAGAGACCAGTTGTTAGGCTGCTCCACCATCTGAGCGTCCATATTGAAGGGTTATATCTGTATATATACACTTCCTGTGTGATCATTTATGTTATTCGCATACATTTACATATGTAAGAAGAGATCCGAGTAAGTAACACCCATCTGTGACATATTAACATGATATATCATGTATTCTGCATAAGCAGATAGTGTATGGATATGTAAATTGATAATTAACATTTACACTCCCAGTTATTATGCGGTTAACAAACGGTGCCAAATTAAAGACAATTTTGGAAATAATTTATATTATGACAATGTGATCGGAAACCAACAAACGACTCTTTCTGATTTTTAGATTTATTAACGAAGTTACGGAAAACATGTTTTCATTGATGTCCTACCTAATAAAGTACAAGCTGTGACAGTGCGCAGTAATCATTTGAAATTTTGTCACAGATATTGATCTGACAAACAGATCAATACGCCAAATAGTATTTTTTGAACGTCTGTTTATTGTGAATTGCCAACTGTGAATTTAGAAATAATGCTTTTGCTAATATTTTCATTTAATGTGGTTTGAGCTGCGACTTCATATTGAAGATTGGTGCTGGATCGATATTTGATCCCATTTATAATGTTTTAAACAATGGTATATGTCACAGATAAAAAGATAAAAATGTTCAGTGTTTAATAAAGAAACAAAAGTTATATTTGATGTGATGTGTTATGTGTAATATATTTGAATATAGTGCTTTAATTCCTGCAAAGAGGGTAGTTATGCAGTTTAGCATTTGAGGTTGGGTTCAAATCTCCCAGATGGGTAGAATATTTGAATCACATTGCTTGTGTCCTTCAGCGTTGATATGTTGCTGAAAGTGCAGGTCCCCTTGCCATTCTCCAGCGCTCTGCTCCATGCCACATGCCCAACCACCATGCCACACCACGTCATGTCTCTAAGGGGCATATGCAAATATTGCTACAATTACCACATGTTTTTGGAAGCATGCAGTGACATAAACTAGGTTTTGGGTGGTTTGATTCATGGACGCATGCTATCAAGATGACTGGTTATCCTAATGAGAAAGTGTCATCAATTGTTCTGCAGTTGACCCCTTAATGATGCAAGGATCCAGTTGTTTAAATCCAGGCTATGCCTGGCTATGAGATTCCTTAGTTTGTCTGCTCCAATCCTGAGTTCATCAGTTTCGGGCCAGAATATCACTTCAGTTATAAGGTAATCATAGTTGAGATTACAGTTTTTCTGTAGAGTACAAATGTTTTGGGGGGACGAGTCACACCTGTGGTTCAAACCTCACACTCAGAGTAAGGCATTTAATCATCAACTCACGAAGTCAGCCACCTACCCCACTTAGCCACCACTGTGTCCACAGAATGGAAGTCTGACAACTGGCAGTCTAACTGACATCCCTTCCATACCCCTCTGACAAATGGAATTTGGTATGGTCCCCATGGGTCTCTGATATAAACATTATTTCCAAAAATATCATAACAGAATAGAAGAAAAACAGACCAGAGACATTCTTCATTTTCAGAAAGTTTGGAAATCTAGATTTGCCAAATGGTACAGACTTATATGGAGTGGTCTGTCATACAGACCCTGAAAATGAAGAAAGTCTCAGGGCTCTTTTTCATTGTATTATATTTGTTTTCACTAGGAGTTTTTTTTCTGTAAAATATGTTCATTTCAGAGACCAGTTGTTGGTCTATATATGGGTCTATGATATATTTCTTCATTTCAGTGAGAGACCAGTTGTTGTGCGTCCGCCCGTCCGTCCGTCCGTCCGTCCGTGCACATATATGGGTCTGTATTGAATTCTGATATATTTGCTTCATGGGGTCTGCATGACAGACCTAGAACCCTTCAATGTTTCTTCACCAAACTTGGCACATAGATAGATCTGGTGGTGTACTGGTGCCTTTTGGTAGTTTTGGAAATCTGAATAAAATATTTTTGGCGTTTCCATGGCAAAAGTTTGAGCCAGTGAGTGCTCTTTTTCATAACAAGGATCATCTTGGAAAACAATTTTTGGCGTTTCCAACAAAACTGAAAGTTAGTGTGATTTAAAATGTTCTCTATTTCTTTTGGCACATAGATAGAAATACTTGTGCCTTTTGGTGTAATTAAAATAGGCATGGCAACAAGTTTCTTCTGAAATTGTGGTAACTCCCAAATTATTTATTACCAAACCCTAACATTTTGTTCTTTTTATAATATAAAATCATCATGTAAGTGGTTCAAATGTGTCTTCATCCAAATTGTATGCTTTTGGTAGTTTTGGAACAATTTCCATGGCAACAAAAGGAAGTTATTCTGGTCTATTTTGATAAATAATATTTCTGCCCGAGTTACAGTTTAAGGGACCATCTTTGATAAAATATTTCTCCCTCACACACTGTGAATCTGACATCCACATCAAGACATAAGCTCACATTCCCACATATTTAGAAGTTTTAGTTTGGAGTAAGTATTACAGGGTTGGCCAGATGGGCAATAAACAGGCATGTTGACCAGTAATCTCAAGAGATGGTCAAGCTTGCTAAATGTTTGCACTGGAAGTTGTTGTCTGGGCAGCCAATGGTCACTCGGGGAATTCAGTGTTTAGTTAACAGAGACATTGAGCTGTTAGTACAAATATTATAAAGCGTTATTCTGTGTTTGAAAGAGGAGAAATGTACTGAATCTTATATGTTTGGAGCTTGGAGTTCTGTGCATACAAGACTGTAGTGGTTGTTAAACTATTTGACATCATCTTATGTTTGGGGGTTATGTCTTTTTTGTGGACTTCATAGTTGATTGTTTCGGTGTCACTGTAAATGATATTTAAATATTGTTTCCATAATTACTTGAAGTAAAATATTGATTGTGGACTTTCTGTCTTTTGTTTGGTAATCCTGAAAGTGTCGTTTAACATTTCTGTGAGGAAAATAATGAAATATTTGATATATTTTTTATTATCTATTTGATAATAATATTCAAATTTAACATGTAAAAATAATTCAAATTTCAACAGGAAGTTTATAAAAGCAATTAATAGCATTCTGTGAAGTTCTACAGCATTATTTTCTCAAAATGTATTTTTGTGGGAAAAACTGAAAACAAAAATAAAATAGAAAATAGATTAACATAAAAATAAACGTACAACTTTCAACTCAAAATGCATTATAATCAATTAAGTATTAATATCCAATCAACACAAACTTGATTTTGGTTGAGCAGTTCAATAATTAATAAAACAATAAAACAAACTGCAATCAGCTATGTCATAGAAGAACCCGGGACTATCCTCAAACGGCAAGCTATATCCCCCCAGTGAAACACCGAGTCTCAATCAGCTAACGCTACCTTAGACGGGAAGCTCACCAAACTGTGGTGTGCCTACGGGGCCCGAGCCTAAATCACTTAAAGAGGCCATGATATGCTTGAGAAACGACTATAAAAGCGAGACGCCTGGCTGCCACCCCCTGTGGGCAAATGAACCGACCCACTCTCCAGACTCCAATCGCAGAAAGCAGTAGGCTTTCAATCAGGTGTGGCGTGTAGTAGGGCTGTGTTCAGATGTTGAAATGCGGTACTGTTAAATCTGGATTTATTCCTTACATGGACCAAGTGAACATGTGACACACACAGGATCGGTGAATTATCTGGAAGTTTGGATCTCTGGAATATATGTGATTGACAAGTGCTGTCAACGTCAATATCAAAATTGACAAGAAACTAAACATGTGTTTGTCAATGGACAGTGTTTGTGTACGATGTTATGAGAGTTCAATGGCACTGTAGTTTCAAACTGAAGTTTGTCAAATAGTCCTTTTGGAATTAACAGAGAGGGGTGTTCAAATGCTGCATTTCTATAGGTGCAGTGTTTAAATTGATGGCTTAACACCTGCATTAAACTTGTGGCGACCGTGGATGTACATTTCACCTGTGATGACTCGCACCTGGATTTCACGTTTCTGTAAGATCGGATCATAACATGTGGATACCATGGCTTGGACACAACATATACTTTCATTCTTGGTTGGATATTGTCTCTTAGCAGGTGAGAATTGTTATTGTTGTTTTGTGGAGTTGTTTTTGTTGTCTTATACGCTTTTGTTTTTGGGTAGAAACAAAAAACACATACCATACCACACGACCCACCTAATAAAAAAATCACCAGTGTTAATTTGCAAGCAAACAAATATCAAGTTAAATGCGATTCTGATATAAACCAAGTATCATTTTTTTTTAATAATTTTTGTTAAAATACAAATTACAATAAATTACCAACATCTTTTTTCACTTTTATGTAAACATGAGTTCGTAATTTATAGTTTGAATACTTTTCATAAAAAAACCCAACTGACATCAAGTCTGTAAGAGGTAAATTCTCTATAAAGTTTTCTCTAAATCCTCTGTCTATATAAGTAAGTAAAATGGCTGATGTCATTTAGAAAGATAAATTTATATTACAGCTATAAAGCCCAGTGTAATATATTTATAACGAGCCCTGAGTATTATTGATATATATACTCCGCTTGTGGATAACAAGAACTGTGTAATATAGATATATATATACACTGCCTGATGTGTATATGATGTCCAAATTACTGACTACATCTTCTGTATGGTACGATTCACTTGCTTGTAATTGAATGTGATGGCCCCATTTGGACTAGATAAACTGCCATCTAATCCTTTTCATCCCAAGAAGCCATTCTAGGCTGGTCTCAAAGACCACACAGAATCAGGATACCTTGCTGAAGAATCAGTTACTGAAATCAAGATTTCCAATTTTCAGGAAACAGTCTTGAATGGTGCCATAAAGTACACTGAGGACTGTCCAAATACATTCAAGTATCATAGCATGACTACAGTATAATTACATTTGTTTCATATTAAAATTCAGTTTGACTCTGAAATATGTTAATAAGAATTAACCTTTGAGCTAATTATTTGTTGAAACATGTTAAGTGAAGTTTACAACTGGATTAACAGGCAATATTGCATTTATTCCACAGGGAGTATGTCACATGTCACTGTGTACTACACGTCAGTATCACATGGAACAGCTGATTCCTACAATGACAGATATATATTAAATACATCCATTTCTTATGCTAATGAAACATAGCACCATGTGTTGCCAATGTTGAGAAATTGAAGATTCAGTGACCGTGTTGAGTTGTGTATTCTCTGGATGATTGGTCCTGACTATATTAAATGTGTTAGTCATGCAACGTCCATATCTTAAATAGGAAACCTTTGACTACAGAAATGTATTTATATATATTAAAAAATTTAATATTAAGTTACAAATAAGTTGTTCTGATGTCAACAGTGATGAACAATTGTGGTAGAACTATTGACAAATGATATCTACAAAAAGCAGTTCAAAGTTCTTTTTAGAACAACTTTGTCCAATGAATATATGGCAGTAATTTTTGTAATTTAAAAGCAAATGATACAAAATTTGAAAAAAATAATTTGAAGTGCGTTCCGGTACCTAAAAATTGTCATGAAATATGCAGGTAACATCTTTGTAGTTTCATGTTGGAACAAAAGTGAAAACAAATTGAGCCAAATGCATATATTAACAATGTTACACCATAATATATTGTATATCTATAATTATTCAAAGTGAAAATGTACAGTCAAATGATAAGGCTTTAAATACTTCGCAAACAAGTTAAGGAACACCCACAATACCCACCAGCCATGATAGATTAATTATAATCATTTGGAATCCTGGATGTTCTTAAACTTTTTTGAGTAGCATATGTTTTACAGGTAAAATACCAACTCAGAAAAACAAGGCTATAGTTTTGATGGTTCAGTGTTGTGATTTGTTCAGTGTTGACCAGTAAGTCAATACCCATGAAGGAAATTAAGGAACGACCAGCATGTGAACAGATTCACACCTATTGATCCCCATCCATTACAGTCTCACATATGTCCTGCCTAGCTTTACATAAAGACACAGGACAGAGAAGCCAGTCCTAATTCAAAATCAAATATAGTGTTGGTCTTATGTTTAAGACATTACGGTAATACAATCTCAGTTTCTGTCTGTCAAAGTAGGCGAGGGTCTTATTGGATGTCAAGTCTTGGTCGGAGGGTTGAAGTGGGGAGGGGTCACAGAAATGTGGGTGGGGCCAATTTTGGGGGGAATGGTAAATGGAGTAGGGTGATTCAAGATGGTACTGAAATTTTTGCTTGAAATTATTTTTTTGTTTCATGTGTGATGCTGGTTAGTATTGTTTGTGCTGATGTGTGAGAGGGGGTTGGGGGGAGGGGGGAGTAAAAGTGGGGAAAGGGAGATGTCTAGGGATGGTTTGAAGGTCTAGGGATGGTTTAAAGGTCTAGGGATGGTTTGAAGGTCTAGGGATGGTTTGAAGGTCTAGGGATAGTTTGAAGGTCTAGGGATAGTTTGAAGGTCTAGGGTCATCAATATATTTTAAATCCATTTATACCATATCCCTGTTTATTTCTAATCATCAGACTTCAGCAAAGAAGATAGTTTCATATTTGCAATCATGCTTTTCCATAAACTATATCAGGTGGAACCAAACAACGCTTATGTCTGTCCGTCAAAGATACGGCAATGTCTTCCAGACAAGTTATTGTTTATTCACCACAGAGAGATGGATTCAAGATGGTGGCCTAATCCCAAACAGATTGGAGTGGTTACACCAATTTATGAATAATAAATATGATTTTAGAACTAGACTTTTCAGTAATAGATACACTTAGAGCCCGAAGGCTGAAGATTGAATTTCAGCTAATGGACCAGTGATGGAGACAAGGAAATGTGGATGGATGGCCACACAGGAGGGAGAGAAGGAGAGAGACGGGGCTCGGATGAATAAAAATGAGTTTATGAGGAAAAAATGAGGGTAGGAAGATGGATAAGAGAGGGGGATGCACTATCGTTAAGTGAGGATCTGGCGTGATAAAATGTAAGGTGACAGAGAATCTGAAGAGAGAAGGACCTACAAAACTTGGCATATATATCATACATAGTTAACCTGAACAAGGCTGACATTTTTTTAGATGTTAATGTGTGTGTTTATATTTTGTACGTGGGTGGAATAAGGTTGAAATTCAATTTAATGTGATATACTATTTACCATAAACTCATTCTGAATGTGACAAAAACATCACAGAAATTGTAGTACTAAAAATATTCCATTTCACTTTAGATCAGGAAATTATATGTTTCTTAAATGCATGTCAATGGTTCTTATAATGTCATAGTGTATATCCTAATGTCATGGTGTATATTGAAGTGTATACCTTACATATCCGGTATCCATATCAAGGATGAGTGGTGTATATTGACAAATATGTCCCGCCAGACCTAAAGCTAGTGTACATGTTAACATTTATGTTGCAACTTTGTTGAGCTGGCAGGAAAGTTAAACCATACATATGTCGGCTTAATGAACGTATCCTTATGTCAGTTTGATGGACCTACCCTCATAGGGAAGGTGATTTAAAGCTAATGTCTTCTCTCCGGAACATAAAAAAAATAGTAAAAAGTCGTTAGGGAGTAATGGAGTTTTGTGAAGCTGTTCCGTTATTGGGGTTCGCCTGTGTATTGATTCCCCGACATGATACAGGTACACTGCTGTGCTTTGATCACCTCCATTCTCATGTAGAACTAGATCTATTTACTGGTAGAAGGACATGTGATGAGAAAATCACCAGTGTCTCTTACGATAAATTGTTTTCAAGCTAATGTGGTATTTGTAGGTATAATCTATGACAAAACATGAAAATCAGGGACACAATATCTTTTTCTAAGGGTCCCGTAGGAATGATGCGTTCAGGATGTGACATGACTCACAGATGTTGTAAAATACGTGTGTCATGGTGTTTTGGTCGTTGGGGAATGTTCAAACTGTGTTTGGGACTGGTGAACACCTGGTGTCATCGTTGGTCTGTTCTTGTGATTTTCACTCGTTTATTTCCTTTTTCACTCTGTGGTGCAGATAGACAAGACTGGTTAGTGTCTGACATTGGTATAGTCTGGTTAGTGTCTGGCATTGGTATAGACTGGTTAGTGTCTGGCATTGGTATAGACTGGTTAGTGTCTGGCATTGGTATAGACTGGTTAGTGTCTGGCATTGGTATAGACTGGTTAGTGTCTGGCATTGGTATTTCCCTGATTGTCTGAAGGTGTGACTGAATGTGACATCCAGCTTGAAGAAGTTGTCATACAAATAGATTTTGTCTTTACATACATTTCCCTCATTGTGGGGTTGTCTGAAGGTTCGTTTGGGGCTGAATGTTACATCCAGCTTGAAGAAGTTGTCTCACAAATAGTATTTCTATTTTTCAATGGAGCAAATGCATTGTTTCAAATTTTGAGTGCACATCAGTGCAAAGTGTCATATTCTGCCTTCTCTCCCTGTCAAATATATGTATGTTTAGAAATGCTTTCAGATGTTTGGAAGTGTTTGTATGCTTTGAAGTTTTCATGAATTTGTAGAAGAAGAACGCATACCGTCATGATCTTGAAAATACATGTCCAGTGAGTCAAATGCAGGTTTATATTTTAGAAAATGTTAGGAGTGTAAAAAAAAGTTAAGAAACACTACCATGATTACCACTGTTCAGTTTCAAGGAAACTAGTATATACTTAGTCTGTAAGATATCCGGTTTCTGTGTACAGTTTCCCTTACAACTGACAAGGACAGTCTATGTTCGTGTTAAACAGACCTTCATGTTGATACCCAAATATTATGAGGGATCGTGTATGTTATCCTAACCTAATAATTTATGCAGCATTTGCTAACACTAGTGAATACGAAGGCCGTCGTGAATACGTAACTCAATATTCGTGTTGACCGTCTCCCTTTTCACTGAACCTGGTGCTAGGCCCCTCAGTTTCTTTTATCTTTATTTTGCTTATCAAGTTGTGCAAAAGCAAATGTTTATTTTAGATGCTATGTACACTTTGATGTTTTGAAAACTAGCCGATCTGAATAATCCCGTTGAGCTGTTGAGACGACTGTTTTCACATATGCACTGGGGAGTCTAGGTGACATGTTTTGG